AATTTTGATTCTTCAAATATTGTGTTATTCTATAATTTAGTTATATAGCTGGACAAGATATACTTACTGTCAAAACAAGCTGAATTATCCTTTTACCCCAATTTCTGATGAAGAGGTGGCTCTTTTCGGTGAGGTAAATATGTTCCTTTGATTACTCTCACTAAACTTTACCATTGCCTCAAGATATATAGCTTAAACCTAAAAACTATATCCTTTAGGCTAATAATAGTAATAATTACAGTCCTGTACCCCCTCTCTTGAGACATGTCTGTTCTGGACTCTCTTCAAGTCACACTCTATACCCCTTGTTACATATGGGAGATGACAAAGTATAAACAAATTAAGTCAAATTTGAGTTTCTATATGGTGAATCTTGATGTAAGTAGAATCTACCACTATTGGCATGGGGTTATGTCAAATGAATTGTGCTGTTGCATTATCTGCTACATTTGAATCTGACATTATAATCTCAAAGTTAAAAAATCTTTTCACGGAAGGTAAAAGTACCACAACTATCTCTCATGTTTTTCCACCTCATTCATTTTGGCAAGGAAATGTAATAGTTTATTTTCCCTCAAATATATGAGGGGAACTTCTAAACTATTAAAAGTGGAAATAGCTCAAGAAAAGTCAAAACCATTTAAAATGTTCAACAATTAAATATGTTTCTCTTGTATTTTTATTGTTTCTGGCTTTTAAGTGAAATAATATTCATGGTAGATAAAAACATAACTGTTTAAAGAGAAAATCCATTGGAGCAGCTGGAACTAGTATAAGCAGAGAAAACAGAGACAGTTTAAGTAGCAAAAATACAGAGACACAAAATGAAAATTCTAAATTTTAAAAAAGATTTGCTGGGAGGCTCAGTAGAGAGAGCATAGGGCCAGAAATCAGGAAGACCTGACTTCAAATTCTGCTGCAGACACTTACTAGCTGTGTGACCCCGGGCAAGTCACTTAATCTTGTTTGCCTCAGTTTCCTCATCCATAAAATGAACTGGAGAAGGACATGGCAAACCACTCCAGTATCTTTGCCATGAAAATCCCAAATGGGGTCATGAAGAGTTGGACACGACTGAAAAATGCTTTAACAACAAGTTTAAAGAACATAATCTACTATATTTATCCCTTGGATTCACAAGCACTGTTATTGGTGGAGAATACAGATTACTGTGATTGCTTTGCATGAATGTTTTAGCTGTAGATGGCATGAAATCTAATTGATAGAAATAACAAGTTCGAAGTTTATTTGCACATAATACATTGGCAATACCAGGAAATTTTTTTCCAGAGAAAAGAGGCTTCTAATAACAAAACCAAGCTTTCTATAAAACCACATAAGCAACATGAGAATGACTGCATTATATAAGATTGCTTACAGAATTGCTAAGTGTAAAATTTCCCATTTGATAGATGAAACATTGGTTCCCCTGCAGCTGTGATTATCAAAATGATGGTTGCCTAATCATATGCAAAGCAACTTTGAACGGTTCCACTTGGTGATACTATAGTGAGAAAAATAATTGCCCATATTTCTGAAGACTTTATGATTGATTCATTGAGAAATTAACATCTTCCCACTTCAAATAGCAAGTGGATGAAGGAGCAGATATAATTAAAGAGGCTAATTTGATTACATTTACTTTATGATCTGGAAACTGATTTTAGGGAAGTTTGTTCCTTTGTAAACTTGTTCGTGTCAATGCCATATTAAGAAAATAATTTAAATGTAATTGATAGATTTTTAAAAATGAAAATGATGCACTGATGGAGTTCAGTCGATGCAAGAATAAAAGCAGGTTGACGATCACTAGCCTACAATTTGGCCCCTTATACAATTTATATACGTTGCGTTGCATAGGTAGTTAATATCTTTACAATTAATTTCCTTTTCTCAATCCATTGGTAGATATTGGAACAGAAAGTAATGACTAGACAACAAGGTATTAAATTAACTGTTAAAGACGTGTCTATGTCCCTTTACAAAACATGAATAAGGTTTTTTTTTGATTGAACTGGATGGGGCAAAATCATTGGCTGGGTGATAATGGGCCACACCTTTTATGGCCTCCTAAAAGACTCTAGTAAGTAGCATTGTGGAAAGTATAAATTCTGTCTCCCTTACTCTCATCCATCTGGACTCTTCCCGTGCAATGTCCTACTCCAGATCTATCCTTCCCATTGTGTCCTCTGCCAAACTCTCCTTGGAAGCTTTTGCTCTCCGGTTTATACTATCTATACAGTCCAGGTCTTTATTGCTATCTATAGAGCTCCAGGCCGTTTTCCTTCCTCAGTGAGTTCAGTGCCTGGCTCAGTCTTTCTCTTCACTAAAACTCCTACTCTCATACTGGGGAACTTCAACACAGTCAATAAACATTTATTAAATGCCTGTTTATCATGGATATAGGTTGTTTGTGCATATTTGTTTACTTGTTTTCCCCTTTAGATTGTAGGCTCCCTGAGCTTCCTGTCTTTTGCCTCTTTTTGTATCCCCAGCACTTAGACCCACACCCACACCCACACACATAGTTATTTACATGTTGAGTCCCGTATTAGAATGTAAAGTGAACACTTGAGAGCAGGATCTGTTTTTGTCTTTGTTTGACACATAGTAAACACTCAATAAATACACCTATGCTAGAGGGCATCAGTGCATCAGATTACACTACAGGGCCTTCATCCAGGATATATTTGTTTTCTCTATGCGTTTTCAGGTGTACGTTGGAGAGATCCTCCACCCAGGCCTCTTTGGATACCTTAGGTTTTCAGAGGTTTGGTGGAGAAAATTTAACTTTTTTTTCTTTTGTCTTGGACTATATTTGGACAGTCAGTTTTCTGGTGTATTTCCCTTACCAGTGAAGCTAGTTTCTTTCATTTAACTTCAGCATGATTGAATGCTTGAGTAGGTATATCTGTTGTACTGCTGGGCCCATTTTGACTACAATGGATTCTTCCATAATGCCTTATGGATGTTGCATCCTTAGAATGCCCGTGCATCTAAAGCACATTAGAAGTACTGACCAAGTAAGTCCCAACAGGTAGTAGAGACAACTGCTTTCAATGGAGACACAGACGTATAAAGGAGCAGCATTCTAAGCAGCAAGCAGCTTTGATAAGTAAGACCTCTGGCAGCAAAGAAGAGAGCTAACTCTGGACTCAAGGGAGAACGAGCCCTGTACTTTGAGAGGTCAGAAACGGAGAGGAACAGACACAAGGAACACGCAGCAGAGACGTTTTCTCTAGCAGGGAACAGTATGAAGACTCCATGAAGACAAAAACGACCTCAGATCCCTGTAGCACATGAGTCACGAGTTTTCCTGCCTATATATATTCCCCATGTGTCCACCTCACTATGTAGTTTGTTCCCCTTCTTCCCGAAGATTCTGTGTGTGATTGTAGGAGCTATGCTCTAGGTTTGTGTGGGGAAATGTTTCATAACTATTGTTTTTACTATGCCATCTTAGTGAACGCCTTTGCTATGAGCTATTGGTGTCTGCTAGCTATTAACGGAAAGCTCAGCAATGGGTGCTCATGAGCTCTTTTAGGAATGTGGATCTACCAAGTACCCCTAGAATCTGAGAATATTGCCATCCCTCTAAGGAAACAACCAGCATATAAATACAAGCTAGGAAATTGGCCCAGAGGGAGTGTTACCGATGTTTCACTGTATTGAGAAATATAAGAGAAGCCATATATAGTTTTTCAAGTTGTTACAGGAGTAATCAAGTTTATTAATGAGTCCATTAAAAGGAAGTCTCTTTATAAATTGTTTGACAACACAGGAGCAGGGGGCAGCTAGGTGGTGCAGTGGATAGAGCATCGGACCTAAAGTCAGGAGGACCTGAGTTCAAATCCAGCCTCAGACTTGGCACTTACTAGCTGTGTGACCCTGGGCAAGTCACTTAACTCCAATTACCTAAAAAAAATAAAACAGAAAAAATGACAACACAGGAGCAGAGCATACGTATCTTCTACATTGCTCTAAAATACTTTTGGCTTTTTTATGTCAAAGTACTTCAAAGAGTGTTTGAACTAAGAGGAGAAATTACCATTTTTCTTGAGTGATGATATAGATGCAACATTCATTTTACGACAAAAACATTCTCCTGAAACTTGTATATTTGGTGACTATTTTTGAAAAACAGTACTTTTAAGTAAATCCATGCAAGGTCCTCCAATTCATATTTCAATCCAGAAGAATAAAATTACTGGCAGTTATGAAACATTTGGACAGGTGGGTGGTAGAGTGGATATGATGGGGTGATGTGACCTGGACCCCTAAAAGGAAAAGACCATGTCGTTGAAAGCTATCGCCCTTGCCAGCAAGAAGCAGTTTCCCTGAACTTTCTCATACAATCTAGTCCCTGGATTAGGCCCATCCTAGTCACCTAGATACTCAATAATCCTTTTAACTGCCCTTTCACTGTGGCCCTCCTAGCATCTAGCCCACTTCTATAAGACTCACAAATAAACCTTTCTGCTTTGACTGAAAGGTTTGGGTGGTTGAATTCTTTTGAGGCAGATCTCCTGTACTCTTGCATTTTGGGGTTCCCAGCACCCCAAACCACAACATATTGACCACCAGGCCTAGGGTCAGGAAGACTGTCTGTGTGACTCTGGGGAAGTCACTAAACTCTGTTTTCGTCACTTTGTTTGTCTGAAATAAGCTAGAGAAGGAAATGGCAAACCACTCCAGTATCTTTGCCAAGAAAACCTCAAAATGGGGTCATGAAGAGTCAAACAGGACTGAAAACAATTACTGTACGCTAGATGGCACAGCAGATAGAGTCAGGAAGACTCATCTTCCTGAGTTTAAATTCAGCCTCAGACACTTAACAAGGTTTGTGACTCTGGGCAAGTCACTTAACCCTGTTTGCTTCATCTGTAAAGTAAGCAAGAGAAAGAAATGGCAAACCACTCCAGTATCTTTGCAAAGAAACCCTAAATGGGCCACAAAGAGTCGGACATGACTGAACAACAAAAACATTTAGAGCTATGGAAAATAAATTTATAAAATATTTTTGTTTCCCAATTTAAAAAAAATCTGCCTTGCAAATGAAATTTTAAAATGACCAACTTATTAATCCTTTGACCAATATGAAGAAACAATATATTTTATCTTAAAGACTTTGGGATTTCTAAACACTAGTGGATGAAAATAATGGATAGTGAATCCATTTGCTATTTACAAAGAGGATACATTTGTTCTTACTTCATCAGAAAAAGAACTACTGAAATCTTATGTTTTAGCTATGAGTGAATAAAGAATTATCTGGTCTATTAAACAAAGCAATACAAATTTTACCACTGTTTGTAACTTCTTACTCATATGAAATAGTTTTCTGCTACAGTTTGTTTCAGTGACAAGATATCACTGTGGTAGTTCTTGGAAAAGATTTACCAGTAGCAATATCACCAATGATTTTTTTTAACTGAAAAACATGCTGCCCATTAATCTCATTTTAATTTTTGTTATAAAATTAGCTGTACAGATACTGATACACACATAATGGATTCAATTTAAGATTTGCATGTTATAAAAAAATTGCAATAATCCTTAATTCTATTTGAATAAAATATTGAAATTGCAGTTATTTCCATGTATTGTTTTATGAAAAATTAGGGCGGCGTTGCTAAGTAAAATATGGAAACCACCAGCCTGGGGAGTGTGACCGGCAAACTCCTCACTGTCTGCAGAGATTCTCCATCAAGGATCTGTGAAAAGTGTTTTTAAAAAATATTCTGATGACTGCATTTCAGTAGTTGGCTTCTGTCTGTTGCAATCTTATGCATTTTCTGCATTTGAAAACATTATCCTGAAAAAGGTTCCACAGGCTTCACGAGAATGCTTCCAGGCCACACAAAAAAGGTTAAGAAGTGCTGGCGTGGATAACGTTCCGCTACAAGAGGCTGCATCCGCCCACTCTGTGTATAAACCAAATGCGTTTTGTGCCTGCTGCGCCACCGTCCACCTTCCATTAATTAGGAACAGGAAGAGAAATTATTAATCCAGAAGCAGGAAGTCACTGGGCGATGCTGCGCACGCGCAGCAGCACTTTTCTCCCCTCCCCCTTTCCCCTCGAAGATTGCTAACAGTTCTCCTTGCCCGTGAAGAAACAGCGGGTCTAGGGCCATGCTGGGCAACTACAACCGCGGCACACCCCGGGCGGGCCCCAACCGGCAGCGGGACTCGCTCCCGCCCGCCCCGCGAGCAGCGAGCGGCTGTCGGACCCCGCAGCGAAGCCAGGGCATCGACGACCGGGGCGATGGCATCGAGGCGGCGGAGGACGAGCCCTGTCCGGCTCCCGGAGGCTCCGAACCGAGCTTCGAGACGGAGGGCGACGACAGCAAGCGGCGCCTGATCCGGCACCAGTACCGCGAGCTCATCCACAACGTGCAGCGTGAGCAGGAGGAGGGGAGGGGCGGTGCGGGGGCGGGGCGGCGCGGCCTTCCTCCCTCTGACCTCCGGCTGTGCCTCCTCTGCTTAGAGCCTTTGCATAGAGCCTCCGCTGTGCGCCTCCCGCTGTGTGCTCCCCCGCCGTGTGTTCCCCGCTGTGTGCCGGGGAGCGCTTTACAATGACGGTCTCGTTTGAACCTCACAGCCACTCTGGGAGGGGAGGCTCTTGGTCCCCGTTTACCCAGGAGAAAGCTGAGGCTGACAGGTGAAGTGACTGGCCCAGGGTCACACAGCTAGAAAGTGTCTGAGGCCATTTATGAGCTCAGCACTTCCTGACTCCAGCATTCTATCTCCCTGCCCTCAGTCATCTGTGCAATAGGGTTAATGGTAGGCCCCTACCCTGAATAACATTAATAATGAGTATTTAATAATAATAATACACGTTTAACTAGCGCCTTTTAAGGTTTGCAAAACACTTTACAAAGATCTTTTATCTTTTCAGCAACCAGGGGAGGTAGATGCTATTATCCCCATATTACTGATGAGCAGACCGAGGCAGGCCTTCCCCAGGGTCACACAGCTAGGCAAATTTGAACCCAGTAGCTACGTCATCCGGGCAAGATAACTTCATGTTTCCGAGCCTGTCTTCTCATCTCTAAAATGGCACTGATACTTGGACTAAAGACCAGACCTAAGGCTTAGCCCAGCACCTGGCTCAGAGTAGGCACTTAATAAGTGCTTGTAACTTTACTGTTCTGTATTTAAAATAGCGTTGATACTTGGTTACTTCACAAGGACTACTGAAGAAAGCACTTTATAAACGTGAACTGCTGTTTTGTTCTGCCTTTCTTCCTCAATTTCAGTTGCCTGTACCCCAGCTGAATTTGTTCCTAGCAGTTTTTAAGGTTGCTTTTAAATGAAGGGCAACAAGGTGTGTGTGTGGTGGTGGGATCTCAGAAGGCAACCACCAAAAAGGCACAAATCAGAGTGGATTAGTAGGATACTGTGAGAGGGCCGAGTTAGCCCAGTGGGGGAGAGAAGATAAGCCTAGCTGCAGATCCTAGTTGACGTGGTCCTGGACCAGTCTCACACCCTTCTGTGTCTCCTATTTTCTCATTCCAAGGATGGAGAGGCTGGCATCGACTGCTCTGCAGTACTTTAATGTAGCAGTTTGTATTTTACAAAGTTTTCTTTTTCAGACTGTTTAAAGAGCATGATGCTGTTTATTTAATCATAACAATCATGCATCGGTTGAGATGTGCATGGCCCATCGTATGCAAGTAGAGGTAGCAGGGCACAATGGACAGAGAACTGACCTCTGAAACTGGAAGACTGGTTTCAAGTTCTACCTCTGATACATACAGGCTGTGTGACCCTGGCCAAGTCATTCTCAGTGTCCCAGACAACTCTCTGAGATTAAAGCTTGCAGAACAGTTGCTAGTCTGCATTGGTAAAGGGAGTTTTTTCACTGGCAAGTTCCTTACTCCAGTGGAATCACAGGTTTAGACCATATGCAAATCATGCCTTAAATGTTTTTTTTTTTAGTATTCTCAGAACAAATTTGTCCCGAATTTTACATTTGTAGAAACTGAGGCTGAGGGTGAGTAACTTGATCAAGATCACAAGGCTAGTAAGTGCAAGACTTGGGTTAGAAGTCAGCTCTTTTGGCTCCAGATCCAGTCCTGTTAACACTACACACAACCATCTTCTGTAGGTTAGTTATATAAAGGGGAGCTCATTAGGTGTGGAAACAAACCAAGGGGTTGGGAAGATAAAGGGGTAAGGAGTCCAGGCTCTTTTAAAGCAATAAACTACCTTTATCCTTATGTGTAATTTTTTTCATAATTCCCAAAAAGATGGGGAGCAGGACCTTTGGAAATACTTGCTTGTTACTGTACTTCGTCAATGATGTATTAAAGTTTCAATTTTCTGAAGTATGTATTTTTAAAATAGAGCAACGAGAAGATATGTTGAGTTCAAAAAGCAACAAATTAACAGATGCACTTGAACAAGCCAACCAGCTGTTTAACAGAGGTAAGTGATAGCATTTAATAATGCCTAGTTTTAAACTTGACCAGGAATATTAGGATGACTCAGATTGATGGGCTTACGGCTAGATTTAAATTACAGACATCAGAGGGATTGGTTGTGTTGTTTATCTGAGTTGTGTTGTTTATCTGAGTTGTATTGTTTTCCTTTGTCATTTTCTGCATTCTCTTGGTTTTGCTTACTTTGCTCTTCCTCATTTCATGCATCTCTTTACAAGGTTTTATGGATTCTTCATAGTCATCATTTCTAATAGTGCAGTAATCTCCCAGTGGTTTCCTGTGCTGTGGTCTCTTCAGCCATTCACCTAACACTGATTGAGACTTCTACCTTTTTGTATTCACATCACCTAGCATTATTGCTCTACAACAGTTACTCAGTGCATGTTTATTAACAGTAATCATGATTGGATAGGAGAGTGGAAAAGATAATCAGATGTTGTTCATTCTTTTTTTTTTTCCAGCCAAAGACAAGGTTTATTACTAGAACATCCATCATACTGGGCAGACTCTTAAGGAGTCTGAATATTAGTAAGCTGTTGCCTAGATTATAAGAATCTGAGCAGTGGCTAGATTTTAAGAATCTAAGCAGTGGCTAGATTATAAGAATCCTAGCATCTTTTTTTTTTTTGGCAGTTGAGGTTAAGTGACTTGCCCAGGGTCACACAGCTAGTAAGTGTCAAGTATTTGGTCTGAGGCCAGCTTTGAACTCAGGTCCTCCTGACTTCAGGACTGGTGCTCTATCCACTGTGCCACCTAGCTGCCCCAGAATCCCAGCATCTTAATGGAGACAAGGTGGACCTCATATACAGAAAGACTGTGGGAGGGACCTAGGAATGGCCAGTAAGCTGGGGTGAACTGAACTCCTGGGACCTGGACCTCGTGGCCAAGGGAGAATGGAGCCTAGCTAGGATTAAGGGTGGGAAATGGCCAGGGGTCATACATAGGGAGGTAAAACAAAGGAAGGACAGGCTAGGTTAAAGGTAACAGAATTGGGAGATTGGGTGTAGCCACAGTGAAAGGCCAGTTGATGGGATTATAGCCTCAGGCAAATGCCAGAGATTGGGCCAAGTGGGAAAGTCCAGGGTTTTTCCTTTCTGGGATCTAGATCCCAACCCCATCATTCTCCCCTCAAACAAATGAGATCCAAATTCTTTTGGAATAAGGGGCAAAGGTCTCAGCTTCTGAAACTGCTTCCTGCTGGCAATGGGAGTAGAGCTGTCCCCGCCTCGAGGGGGGTCCCAAAGAGGAGGTTGACTGGAATCAAGCACAGGCTGCATCCAGGGAACGATGGGGAGATATTGACTGGTACCCGCTGTTTGCTACCAACTGTAGGTGAAAGGGCTGTTGTCTGGAAGACACTGATCTGACAGAAAAAACTTCAGGGCCCAGATGTAAAGCAGGAACTAGATTTAGGGCCCAATTTTGAGAGGATAAAACATCCTTCACACTGTTTGGATTCACATAATTCAGTTTTCCAACCATGCAGTATCAAGTCCACCTTACAGCCAGACTCAGGAATAGCCAGGTGGGTAACATTCCCTTTCAAAGGAACATAATGGGGAAACTGAGCCAGGTTGAATTTAGTCACTTTGACTGTTCTATCATATCTTAATAATATTTCTTCTTTTTTGAACAGTGTCCCAAGCAAGAGAAGCAGCCCTAGATGCCCAGTTTCTTGTTTTGGCTTCAGACTTGGGTAAAGAAAAGGCAAATCAGCTGCATTCTGATATGACCTTATTTGATCCAACATCATATACTGAAGATTTAGTAAGTTTAAAGCCACTGAATTGGAACCCCTGTTTTACTTTACCAGATTTTGAAAAGGTTTTTAAATAACCTTCTGTTCCAAACTTATGTGTTAATACTCCATTTCCTTTGTGATGGAATCAAGCATGGAGCCAGTAGATAGGTATGAAATAATGACTTGGGTATTAGACATTTACTATAATCATTGAGGTGTATATGTCACTTTATCATAATGTGTGATGGTCTCTTTCCTTCAAAACTATAAGATTTTCTTTTGTTATTTGTGAAATTGGGGCTGACAGAATTTAAAAGGTTATTTAAAATTTTTATTTATTTCCTTTATAATAGGGCAAAATTGAAATCAAGTCCAGGTAGTTCTGCACTCTGATCTTATTATTTTAAATAATAAGTTGCTAATAAGATTGGCTTGTTTCGAAAGAGTGCCTACTACTGAACAGACAGCTAATTTAAAGTTGATAGTTTAAATATGGATTCTTAGTACATTCTGCCCCCCCTTTTTACCACTCTGACACTGTTACTGTAGAACCTGAATGGGGCTTCATGGTACCAAAGACTTTATATTTTTTTCTTTGTTTCATGAATTTCCATAACTAAAGAAATCTTTGCCAAGGGGCCAGCCTACTAATGATGAGACTTTCTATACTTACCTAGACTTAGCAGGCAGTACTGAACTTGAAGCTTTTCCCACATCTAAACCAGCCAGAGCTTACCCTCTGTTGGTGTAGCCTTTAAGAGTCCAGGGGCACCTCCATACCACAGTGAGGAAGTTGTAGGTCTTTGAGGAATGATCTGGTCATACATAATGAATAATTGACTAAATATATTGTTGGTACTCTAAATATGAATTCCCTATCTGGTGACCAATAAGTGGACATACTACTGGAGGAACTGAATAGTATAAATCTTGATATCCTTGCTATAAATGAAAATAGAAGGCTAAATGAAATTATAACTAAAAGGAAGGATGGCTTACAACTTCCCCTTGGAGTGAGGTAAATAGTTAGAGGACTCAGTTTTTATTGTGCATCCAAAGACAACAAATTCTCGTTAGGCCATTCATTGGTCATTGCACATTATAATACTTCTGATAATTATTTGCAGAAAGTACCATGAAAATAATTGCATATCATACACAAATATTTGTTGCACAGGATAAAGAGGTAAGACATTGTCCAAAGGATTTGATTTAATTTTGAGGGTCTTAACATATATTTGGATACTTGGTAAAACATAAATGTCATAGTAGGAATAGGTCAAGATGATGAAAAATGATGGAAAAACATTAGGTGCTTATGTTCCAGGCTAGGACCACAAATACAAGCAAAAAGAAATATAGGCCCTGTCTTCAAGGAGCCTACATTCTAAAGGATGAAGACAGCACAAAAAAGGGAACTGAAAAGGGAGTAAGGATGAGGGCAGAGGGAGAGGAAGGTACCTTCATGAGGCATGGTAAGGGAATCCAGGTTTGCACCCTGGTGAGCAATGAAATGATGGCTGCTCTGAGCCTCCTGCTTAAATGGATCCGAGAGAGGAGCTGAGGGTATTTTCAAGATATGGATTCCAGGGCTGAAATGATCTTTAAGGAAGAAGAGATTTTTGGGATATGATGGAGGAGTTTGAATTGCAGCCTGGTGAGAAATGAATAATGAATGAAAGAATCAGAAGACTTGGGCGACATAAAAGTCTCACACCTTTATGTTGTTTTTACTTTCTTAGAAGAATTGGAAGGCTGTGGACATGGCAAACAGCAATGAACATCAACATATAATGAAATCAGTTATGTTTTAATAATCAGGAAAGAATCTATTTTTGATGTGGGAGTTATTTGAAATCAGCTGTTTGGGGATAGTCACACCACCAGCTTGTTATCAAAATGAATACGAAACTAGAAGATTAAAGGTGAAAAAAAATTAGGATGCAGCTTAACAGCTCTTACCTTAACAAGGTGGCAAAAACAAATAAATAAACAAAAAACCAACCAGGACGACCCTTACAATTTCATACCAAAGTTTTCACTAATATAAACCATTGCAAAAACAAGGGTACTGAAAGAACCTAGAAAGTGCCTTAGTCAGCAGATACTTGTCTTATTTGCCAAGTGGAAATATACAGAAGCTAAGGAAAACACTGGATTATGATATAAACTTCTTTGTTAAATCTTACAGAAAAGAATGGTAGAATATGATAAATATTCCCTTTTAAAACAAGTAGCATATAGTAAAACCAGGTTAAAGTGAGCTTTGTTGGAGTGACTCAACTGAGGCCAGCAGGAAAATAGACAAAAGATTTGTCAAAATTGTTACAGCAAGCCCTTGCCATCATCAAGAAGAGAAGGCCCACTGCACTGAACTGTAACGTCTCAGTATCCTCAGAGATAGTGAAATGTAGAAAGGGGGCAGAAGAAAATACAGGTGGTTAAAGCATCTGAACTAGGCTGAGTGTACACAGTGAAAGAATCTGTGCTGGCCAGGGAGGGATTCATTCTCCGGAAAAAGGGAAAAATACCAAAGGCAATCAAGACAATGCTGCATGGTAGAGTAGAAACTGGCTTTGGAGTCAGAGGACCTGAGTTCAAATCCTAGCTCTTCCACATCTATCTCTTCAGTCTTGGGCAACTTACCTTTTCTGGGCCTCAGTTTCTTCATCAGTAAACGAAGAGGTTGAACTTAATGATCTTCAAGGTCTCTTCGATCTGTAAATCTAGGATCCTAGGACCTAACATTGATTACCCCTATCTATATAAAGGTTATATGAGAATAATTACACGTGTCCTGAGAGCCTCCTTGGCGAGGATATTAAAAGCAAATTGGTTTTCTCAAGCAATATTCCTCTGTAGACTACATCTTTAACATCACACAATTGACCAAAAGATATACATACATTTATGTATATATATGAGAAAGAATAAAAGCTCTGCTTACTGTTGATTGTTTTTTTAATTGATTCATTGGAGCAGAATGCTGTGTTAAAGGCTTTCTTCCAGCAAGGTGTCTTTCTTGCATATATCAGAATTGTACATAATTTCCTGAGGGAGGTAATAGAACTTTGACCCTCATCCAAAAAGGAGTAGGATACAGATAGGTGTTTTCTCATGGAGATGCAGAGTCTTTGTCAAAATGGGCTTCCTTATAGATGGTGAGGTGTTCCAGATACTCCTGTTTGCAGATGTTGTTATTATTATTATCCTCATTGTGTTGAGCACAAGAACATTTGCAGGTACATGCTCAGTTTAGTCCGATCCTCCATGTGGGAAAAAGAAAGCAAATGAAGACTGCCTCTTGTCTAGGCTTATGATTGTAGTTCAATGGATAGCCCATGGAATTTGTCAAATCTCAGACCAATATGAAAGTGGATGGTCATTGTTCTCTTGGACCTAGAATTGGACAGGATGAAAGCAGTGGTACCTTTGGGAAATGGCAAGGTCTTTTCATTTCCCCAAGCTTCTCCTTGAAACAAAAGCTTATCTTTTTTATACCAGTGTTCCACCAGTGTTTTATAAAGCTGTGACTTATAGTCTCCAAAAAGTTGAAAGTAGATATCACCTGGAGAACACTAAGGAGGCATATTATGGGTGTGAGCAGGCTACACTCATAACAGGCAAGGAATTGTAGGACCTACTTCACAGAATTGTTATGGGGATCAATTAAGATAATGAAATCATTTTGCAAACCTTAAAGTGCTATATAAATGTTAGCTAGAATCATCACTATTATTATGGAAAAACAATGGATGCTAGGAACAAGGATGTCCACTGTTAAATCTGGCCTCAGACATTTACTAGCTGTGTGATCCTCATTAAATTGTTTCACCTATGCTTGCCTTGGTTTCCTCAACTGTAAAAGGGGGATAACAGCACCTCAACACCTCACAGAGTTGTTGTGAGGATCAATGAGATAGCATTTGTAAAATGCACTTGGCAGTGAGCCTGGCACAGAATAGGTGTTATATAAATACTTATTCCCTTTCCATCTTGTTCTCTTCCCTGTATCTTATTATTTGATAAAGTGCTAGAAATGGTAGCTGCTTCAGTTCTTCTGTGATCTCATTGTTAGGATAACTCTTTCCATGGATGCAGATCATAGCTCAATTCTGCCTTCTCCTATGGGGCTCTTCTCTGTGCTGCCTGTAATTTAACATGCTTGGGTATCTTCCTCCAGGCTTTTCTGGAATACTAATGAAACATGCTAATAGTCCTTTCTTTAACAAGCATTCATTAGCATCTATGGTGTTATAAGGTATTGTGCCAGGACTAAGATAAAGTAAGCCCCTGTCATCAAGGAAAATGCATTTGGGGGTGAGTGAGTGTGGAATACAACATGTGCACAGAATATTAAATGCAAAATAGACACCAATTTCCAGGAGGAAAGACTGGATCTATCACAGTAGACTTCCTGAGGTAGGTGGCACTTGAGCTAAGGTTTAAAAGAAGCTAGGAAGTCGACAGAGAGGCAGAAGCGGTTCATTCTAGTTGTGGGGGTCCTATTTACAGATAGTGCAGATGTACATTAGTAGGAGCTGGAGGGTTTACAAGAAATAATAATAATAATAATAAGCTTGGCTAGACCAGCACTTCTTAAACTGTGGGTCACGACTCCATATGGAGTCACGAAAAATTTGGCAACAGTAAAAGGTTTCTGAACATGCAATGACCAAAAATTAATCCAAAATCAAACTTGTAATGAATTTAAGGTGTTTCTGGCAGCACTTGCCATTGCATTCATGCAGCTTCACTGCAGCCTTGGTTCTGAACACACAGCATGAGCGCTTTGCACTACACATGCCCTCAGGCCAGGCATAGCTGAAGGGGTCATGAGAAGAAAAAGTTTAAGAAGCCCTCGGCTAGATAATAGGGGAAAAGGCTAGTAAGTATGGAGAGATTGTAGATAGTATTAATAGCCACCATGTATGTAATGCTTTAAAACTTGCAAACACTTTATATAAGGTATCCTGTATAATCTTAGTGCAGTTTTAAACTTAACTTCAAAAAGTGTTAAGTGCTACAGACTTAGAAAAAAATCATTACAAGTGGGGAAACCTTTCGTTATGCATTGTGTTTGGGTCAGTTTTGGGATGACTTTCTCAGCCCAGTGGATAGGTAGAGAAAGTCCTTTTGCTTGGCCACATTGGTCACTTTTTTCTTGAGGGTCATGTCAAAACCTCATTCTTGATAGAATCTTAAGACTAGGATTGTAAATGCAGTCCTTCCACCAAGCAGCAACCGATGACAGTTTTGGTTTTTTTACAGAGTTTGAAAATCAACTAGAGTGATATATGAACACAAGGTGGTGGTTATGTTGACATTTATAATATCAGTTTTTTTAAAAAATCATTACCCTTTCAAATGCTGTTTTCCTAAGTTTGTAGCATTTTTACTTCTGAAGTTATCAAAGAGTGTTACTCCTCTAAGATTTTTGGGACACCTGATATTTGAGCCACACAGCCACCTTGTGAGATAGGTACCACAGGTATTAGTATTCTCATTTTACAGACAGTAAAATTGAGGCTCAGCAAACATAAGTAACTTGCTATAATCATATAGCTAGTGTTAGTAGTAGGCTTTATCTTCCTGTTTCCCAAGTACAGAAGAAATCAAAAGGCCAAGCTCCCAAAGGAAATAGAAGGATGTGATAAAGTGGAAGGGTGGCTTTGGCAAGGAGACCAGAGGAGTGGAGGTGTTGAGGATAGAGTATTAGAATAGAGATTTTGGTGAGGACAAATTGGAAATAATTTACAACTTGTTCATCTTGTATTCATTGAGTGTGACCTGGAGATTAGTAGATGAGGCTGTGGACATAATGATATAATTGGAAGATGTGGACTGCATAGGACCTGAAGTTACTTATTGGGGGTAGGCAGGAGGATTTGGAAGTAGTAGTGGGGAGCAGTGAGTATAATCAACTTCTCTTGCTGGCTCATCCAAGGCATGAGAGAAATCTCAGTGTTGTAGAAGATGATAAAGGATGGAGTTTTAGTTATTGCCAAAAGATGGTGGTAGAGTTGTAAAATGTAAAGGCATGTCTTAATGATCAAGAAAGGATTCTAGATGGTACAGTGGAAATGCTAGACCAAGTAGTGGAGGAACTTTGAAAAGAGCACTAAGCTGGATTGTGATTGGAAATTTTTGCCTGGGCAGATTGTGATTCTTAGTCTCAGAGATTTGAGGAATAGCAGGAAGGAATTAACCAGCCATAAGGCAAGTGAAGTTCCAAGTAGGGAGAAGTTTATAGATCAACCTGACTTCGTGGTTTTAGTCCTATCCCCCAGATACTTTGAACCTTTTCTTAAGAGCATCTAGAAAATTAAATAATGCCTTTTCATGATCCTAATTCAAATGTAATGGGATATCTTTAATTTTCTTGTATTAGTAGAGAAGTGATTATGACTGACTTTATATCTAGGGCAAAAATTGACCATACAATTGTGCTTTGACTTTGATACCATTTTGACTTCTATTGCATTTAAGGTTTGTTCCTTTCAGTCATACTTGAAGCTCTCCAAAGGCACAGGAACCAGATCTCAAAATTTTCTTCTCCTCCTCAATGTTTAGTAGCATGATCTATGCTGTTCAGTTAATATTTGCTTATTACTATTCCTTGTCTTTCAAGAGTTCTGTTTTGATAAAATTTGGGTGGTGAATAGCATATTTTAAGGATTCCTTTTTTTAAGTAATTTTTTTTCTAATTTAAGTAATCTTTTAATTTTATTATTGTGTCACTGGCCTTATTAAAAATGGCTACTGGCATCTGTGGTTCTTCCAACAATACCATAATCTCTGATCTGAGGACAGAAAAGTGTTTTGCATGTATCACATACTTAGAAATTGATTTGAATTTGAGCTATTTTGAAAAGTGAACTGTTTGTAGACATGTACAAGAACATCTAGTACACATTGTGCTGCTGGAAAATAGCACTTAAGGTGCTAAAGAGTTAGACCATCATACTTTCTTACCAAGAGTGCTGGGTAATTTTTCTCTAGGTTTAAGATGTAAACTTTCCTTTATATGAAACATACAATTTATTTCATGGCTATTCACAAACTTATTTAGCTGCTGTGTAGTAGCTGTGTGTAGCCTTGAGATATGATAAATTTTCTGACCATTTTAACTGGGAGACTCAGGAATGTTTTTCATCTAGTAAATGATGGCATTTGATTAAATTAAGACTTTTCCCCTGTCATTTCAGCTTAAGTATATGGGCCTAAATCGTCTTGAAGTACAAGAAAGTGATAGTGAGGAAGAGACTCTTCATATTGGATTCTTACCTGAAGACTCCTGGCTCAGAGTAGGAATAATATCAGTAAAATTCTTAAAGAGTGCTCCAACATTCCACTTTTTGTAAGTTTATTTGGGGCCTGGCAGAAGGGTTGATATCTGACAAGTTCTTTGTTTTACAGATAACATTATATTTAGCATGAGTATAGATGAACTTCATAAAGCACTTAAAATTTCTTTTTCAATTAACAAGCATGTATTTTCTCTCCCAAATGAACATGGGAGAAAAAAAAAAAGGAAAACCCTCATAACAAGTATGCATAGTCAAGCAAAGCGAATTCCTGCATTGGCCATGTCTAAAAATGTATATCTCATTCTGCATCCAGAGTCTTTCACCTCTCTGTCAAGAGGTGGGTAGCATGCTTCATCTTCAGTCCTCTGGAATTGTGATCTGTCATTGCATTGGTCAGAGAGCTTGTCTTTTAACTTCATTTTTTAAAATAATTTATTTATTTTTAGTTTTCAGCATTCAGTTGCATAAGATTTTGAGTTTTAAATTTTCTCCCCTTCCTTCTCCTTCTCCATCCGCAAGATGGCATGCAATCTGATAGGCTCTACTTATACATTCACATTAAGCATATTTTCCCATTAGTCATGATGTAAAGAACAACTAGAACTAATGGGAGGAACCACGAGAATGAAGCAATAAAACAAAGCAGCAAAGGAAAAGGAGAGCAAATAGTATGCTTCCATCTGCATTCAGACTCCTTTTTTCTGGATGTGGATAGCGTTTTCCATCATAAGTTTTTTGAAGTTTCTTAGATCCTTGTATTGCTGAGAAGAGCCTCGTCTATCAAAGTCAGTCATCACAAAATGTGGGTGTCACTGTGTACAATGTTCTCCTGGTTCTGCTCATTTCACTCAGCATCAGTTCATATAAGTCTTTCCAGATTTTTCTGAAGTCTGCCTGCTCATTATTTCTTACAGCACAATAATATTCCATTACATTCATATACCACAACTTGTTTAGCCATTCTCCAGTTGAGGGGCATCTCCTCAATTTCCAATTCTTGGCCACCACAAAAAGAGCTGCTGTAAAAATTTTTGTACATGTGGGTCCTTTTCCCATTTTTATGATCTCTTTGGGATACAGATCTAGAAGTGGTATTGCTGGGTGAAAGGGTATGCACAGTTTTAGAGCCCTTTGGGCATAGTTCCAAATTGTTCTTCAGAATGGCTGGATCATTTCACAACTCCACCAACAATGCGTTAGTGTTCCAATATTCCCAAATCTTCTCCAATATTTATCACTTTCTTGTTTTGTCATGTTAGCCAATCTGATAGGTGTGATATGCTACACCTCAGAGTCGTTTGGATTTGCATTTCTCTAATCAATAGTGATTTAGAACATTTTTTCATATGACTGTAGATAACTTTAATTTCTTCCCCTGAAAACTGCCTGTTCATATCCTTTGACCATTTATCAGTTGGGGAATGACTTGTATTCTTATAAACTTGACTCAGTTCTCCATATTTTAGAAATGAAGCCTTCATCAGAGATACTGGTTGTAAAAATTCTTTCCCAGTTTTCCGCTTCCCTCCTAATCTTGGATGTATTGGCTTTGTTTGTGCAAAAACTTTTCAACTTAATGTAATCAAAATTATCCATTTTGCATTTTATAATGTTCTCTATCTCTTGTTTGATCATAAATTCTTCTTTCTTCATAGATCTGAAAGACAAACTATTCCTTACTCTCCTAGTTTGCCTGTAGTATTAGTCTTTATATCTAAATCCTATACCCGTTTTTACTTTAACTTGGTATAGGGTGTATTAACTTTATTTTAAAAATAATGTTATTACATAAATCATTCTTTTAGTTCTCATTTACTATGCCTATTTTATATAGGCTCTCCCAGTTTTCTTGGAAACCGTCCATTATGACATTTCTTATCACAATAAGAATAATTTGTATACCATGATTTATTTAGTGGTCTCCAATAGATGGGTATCCTCTTAGTTTCTACTTTTTTGCTACTATGAGAAAGAGCTATCATAAATATTTCTGTATGTGTGGGTCTTTTAAAAATTTCTTTCATATTTTTGGGGTGTAGACCTAAGTGGTTTGGTTAGGTCAGAGGATGTGCATAATTTAATGACTTTTTTGACCCATTTATAGCTGTACCAGTAGTGCATTAATGTATCATTTTCCTGCAGCCCCTCTAACAATTGTCATTTTCTTTTTTTTGTCTGCTTTGCCAGTCTGAAGGGTATGATGTAGAACATCATAGTTACTATAATTGCATTTATCTAATTAATAATGATTTGGAGCATTTATTCATATAATTGCTTGGATTTCTTCCTTTGAAAACTGCCTGTTCATATCCTTTGACCATTTATCAATTGAGGAATGGCTTTTGTTCTTATAAATTTGAGTCAAGTCTTTATGTATTTCAGTGCAAAGATTTTTTTACCTAATTGCTGTTTTTCCTTCTCATTTTAATTGCATTTCATTTTGTGCAAAACTTTTAAATTTTATATCATATAGCTCCAAACTAGGCTCAGGTGTTGGTCCCTCAGTTCAGTTATAATGTAATTTTGACCCAGTACCTGTAGCAGCTTTCTTGGCAAAATTTCTCCCTAGCCCATGTCTCTTAACACCCTGTGTCCTAGATGACCTCAAGGCTGTGGCAGGCACTCAGCTCTGCCTTCCAGGCAAGTGTCTAGTGAATAAGAGAGTCCATCACCCCTTTTCATTTTCATAGGGACAGAGTTAGTGGCACAGGATTAGCAGATGTAGATGGATTACAACCTGAATTGCAGGTTATCATTATGTTATCTTTCCCCCGAAACTTAGTTCTCTTTTGAATTTCCCTGTTACTGTGGAAGACACCACCATTCACTCATGTTCTCAACATCCATGTCATCTTTAATTCTTCACTCTTATCCCATATCTGGTCACTTGCCAGGTTTTGTCATTTTTACTGTACATCTCACACTTACCCCTTTTCTGTACTCTGATTCAGACCCTCTTCACCTCTTGCCTGAACTCTTTCAGTGGCCTCTTAATTGATCTCACAGCTTCAAGTCTCTCCCTTCTCCAATTCATCCTCCAGACAGCTGCCAAAGTGATTTTCCTAAAGCACACAAGTGATTTTCCTAAAGTCCATACATATTCAAATTCCAGTGGCTCCCTATTGACTCTGGGATCAACTATTATTTTATCTTGATTGTATCCTTTTATTCTTAACATTTTACATGTTTTAAATAATACACATAATTACTAGTATGGTAATACACATGTATTATTTATAAATAAGTAAATATACACATTTTGGGGTTAATGCTCAAAATTTTCTTATTGATTCAATGTATGATTAAAAAAGTTTGGAAACCACTCTATACCACATTGCCTCTTCCTTCTTTAAAGGAGACTTTACTTATTTTAAAACTTTCTAAGATGCTTGGTATAGTGGTTGGAGTACTGGATTTGGTGTCAGGAGGCCCGAGTTAAAATCATAATTCTGTTACTACCTGTGTCAGCATGGGCAAATTATTTAAATTCTATTAGTCTCAGTTTCCAAATCTTTAAAATATAATAGCTGAGTTAATCTCTAAGGTCCTTTCCATCTTCTAAATTTGAGATTTTCCTCCTGAAAAGAAATTCTCCCTTCTAGAAAATTAGTCCCAGGAGGGTATGGCAGCTATATCCTATCAGTGTTTTCCTCACAGAGACCTAGTGCCTAGTGCCATTTGAAGAACTTCTCCTTCCCCACTTCTCTATCCCTTATCTTCTGCAGTAAATACAAGATCAAGTGAGTATGGGTTGGAAGAGGCTTTATTTGGGTAGGCTCAGCCACTTAAGACAAACTGAAAGTGTGGAATGAGGTATTTTTAGTTGAGGAAACTTTAGAAAACTGTTGGATGTGGACAAGAAGATTAAGGAGACACTAAATAAAATCCCATTTTGTAGTATACCTAACACTTTGTTGGCAGCTACGTGTCTTTGAGACTTCCCTTAGGACAAATAACTTAGTTTGTAAAGTAGTATTATACCATAGAACTAGAGCTAGAACAAGCCCCAGTGGTCACTAATCCAACCCCTCATTTTAAAGATTGGCAAATGAGGCCCAAAGAAGCAAATGGACTTGCTCAGTATCACAAAGTAGACTGGTGCTCAAACCCAGGTCATTACTCTTCAAGGGAAGTGCTCCTTCCAATGTACCATGGTGAGCAGGAGTTACTTAATGACTTTGGTAAATCATAGCTTTCTTGAACAGATAGGTTTTTTTCTCATTCTAATTAGGTTTGGTTCATTCAAGACTGATCCTCCTGTGCCAAAGCAACGGAATGAACGTCAGAGAAGAAAAGATAAGAAAGAAGAGGAAAGGGCCATGCCTGCTGAGGTTTGCTTCTTGCAGTCATTATTGTTTTTATATTTAGATACAATAGTCAGTCATCTTCATAAATTTCAAAGACATGATCATATGGGAGGGAGGTTGTGAGAAAGGAAAATAGGATGCATTTTTAGAACTCTATTTTTGTGATTTTCTATCACTCGTATATTTTGATACTTATTTTTTTAATGGGACTTTGTTTTGATTCATTTTGGAATTCAGTTATCAGTTCCTCTTCTATAACCATTCTAAGAAATGTTTTGTTAACTTTATTGTTTTCTTCTATTAGTAGTATGGATAATTTTTTTCAAATCCTGTTATTATTTAGTGTGCTTCGTTTTGTCAGTCCTCCTCCTCAGATGTGGTTACTGAAATCTAGAAATGATATTGTAGATGTGGTCTCATCTGGGCAGTGTACAATAAAATTACCATCTCTCTCCTTTTGTACATAATGAATGATGTATTAATTAATGCAACTTAAGATCCCATTAGTGTTTTTGGCTTCCATGTCCTAACAAGGCTTTGTTTTGAACTGGTGGTCCACCAAAGCCCTAGGTCTTCCATAGAAGCTTGATGAGTATGAATAGGCACATGAGGAGTTCGACTTGTTTCTGGTAAAACATTTTTGCATAATGGTGATGGTGAGCATTCATATTTGTTAACTTACTTGTACTTTCCAGTTGAAAAAAATGGAGGAGTCCCAACAAGAGGCTACAGAAAAGGAGGTAGAAAGGATCTTGGGATTACTGCAGACCTATTTTAGAGAAGAGCGTGAGTGTAACTTCAGCTTGTGACTTGAACAATGTGCACTTGGAAAGCAGTTATAAATTTTACATAAAGTGATTATTTTCTTGTAAAAGATGTTTTATTTTTATCTTTTAAAAACGTATATTTAAAACTTGATTTTTAAGTATTTTTACAAAAAATTAGTTGCCATCTTTTAGTTAATACCACTTCCATCTTTTAGAGGAATGTTGTTGTGTGGACTTTGGTGAAAAATAACTTTTTCTTTTCTATTTTCCCATGTTTATAGCTGAGGCTCCTATATCCTTCTTTGACTTTGTGATTGATCCAAATTCTTTTGCCCGAACTGTTGAAAATATTTTCCATGTTTCCTTCATTGTAAGGGTAAGGCTTAATTACAAATTTTCCACTGTTTTTGTAAGCAAAAAAGTTACAAATAACATACATAAAAGAATTGTTCAAGCTAGTTTTGCAAAAACCCTTATTGTTGCTGGCTATTTGAAAAGAAATGTTTGTATGTAAGTAGGTAGAAGAAACTAACCCAGATATAAACTGTTTCATGTTCTGTATACTGTTGGTTTTACCTTATCATTGTTAAGATAGAATTGTTTAAAATAAATTAATATCATGAGTTTGCAGCTTTGAAATTTTAAAAGCTGTTTTGAAACATCGTAATATGAGTTTGATACAGCTAGTCATTAAACCAGCATCAAGACATTTCCTTAAAAAGAAGTAGATTGAATCTGAATTTCTGATAGAAATTGTGTAGGTAGGAGATAAATTTCTGATTGGTAGCATTGTGCCTACTTTCAAATAGAAAACATAATGTTACCTGTATAAACACACTTATATACCATATATATAATCACTTGATTTATACTTAATTATACCACTACAAAGCTTTCTGAAGTAGGTGTCAGTCATAGAATGCATGAATGAAAGGAAGCATTTCCTTAATTAATTAAAAGCATTTCCTGTGTATCAAGCACTGTGCTAAGTACTGGGGATACAAAGAGAAAAAAACTAGACAATGTTTTTCCTAAGGAACCTGGAACTCCAGCTGGGGGGAAAACACATAAAAACAAGTTTAGCCACAGAGTCAGTGGGAAAGCCCAGAAGTCCTAAAGGGGTCCCCCAGTGTTAGCAGTCTTCCCAACCACCTGAAACCTAGAATTGATAATAAGATCCCTGTGTGTGCTACCTCTTGCAAGTATTAAAAGTAAAGTGTCTCCAAAGTGGAGATAGAAGAAGACATCCTCACTCCACCCCACTCTTTGCACAGAGAGGATGTCCGTAAGTGTGGAACGTTGCATATATTTTCAGATTTTTTTCAATATATTGATCAGTTTTTCTGGGTGGGGGGATGGAATTCCTCTTTTTCTTTTTCCTTTAAAAAAATATTCTTTGTTAGATGCATTGGCTCTTTGGGAGGGGGGAAGCAGGAGGATACTGGGATAAATTTTGGTAATGATAAAACCAAAGATATCAACAAATATATTTTGTAAAGTCCTAACATGAGTATAATTTGCAGAGCATTAAGTCAAGGACTGGCGCTACCATGAACACAAAACACTGACTCTTGAGTCAGACAGATCCTACCTTTGTCCATCTCTTGCTTGGCCACTTTTAGTGATAGGCTTTTACTTTTGAAGGCAGGCTTTCCCATTGCTGGACAACTTTCAGTGCTCATTCTTTTCTTACTATAAAGTTGGATTCTTGGTCTGCCAAATGCTGCTGAGTTTAACACATAATTGAAGCAGCTGAAGTTTTGTGTTTATTGGCATAGATTTGTGTGTATAGGTCCTTTCTAGTGCAGAATATCAAAATTTATACTACTGGCTACAAGAAGACAGGAAAGTTAAGGAAAATCTTGTTTCTTAGTCTTTATATGTACTGTTACCTCTGTTTTCTAATGCCATATTGCTACCATTTGAGAGATGTGTGGTGAAAATAAGTAATGATGTCTCATCTTAATAACAGGTAGTAAAAATTATGTATCACGTTTGTATTTTAGGATGGTTTTGCAAGAATAAGGCTTGACCAAGATAAACTGCCAATAATAGGTAATGATTCTGTTTAAAAAATTTAGTTTGTGGAGACTTGGCCTTTTTAATTAAAGATGACAAATTTTTATTTTGTTAAAAGCAGATGAGTTTTATTGCAAGGTTTACACTTTTATTTCATTATTACATAATGCTTAACAGCTGAAAACTGAAATACAAGATTAGTTAAAAACAATAAACATAATTATAGGTAAAATACATCTTCATATTACTATTATCTTTATCATATGAGAGCTAAAATAACTGAATAGAGCTCTGGGCCTAGAGTCAGGAAGACCTGCATTCAAATCCAGCCTGTGACCCTGGTTAAGTCACTTAACCTTTGTCTGCCTCAGTTTTCTCAACTATAAATTGTACATAATAATATCCCCTATTTCCCAGGGTTCTTGTGAGGCTCAAATGAGATAACATTTGTAAAAAAACACTTAGCACAATGCCTGGCAACATATAGGCTCTATGTATGTAAATGCTTATTTATACTCTTCCTCTAAAAGGTGGTAAAATTTCCTTAAAATTTTAAATTTTCTTCCTTTTTCTCTATTCCTTGTTTTTTCTGGCACCTTTTCCTTCAGTCTTTAAATACAGTTTGTTGGGGCTAATTTATTGATTGTCTGCTCTTCTCCATCTGCATTCTCAAATTTGCAGTTGCTCATAGGATATCACTACCTGAAACTTAGCCTGTGGAAAACTGAACCAGTCGTTATCTTACCCCAAACAAGCACCATTTCCTAATTTTCCTTTTGCTTTTAATCAAACTATAGTCGTCCAAGCCCTTCATGCACATAACCATGGAGTGTTCTGCTCCTAGTCTGCTAATTCTCCCTTACATTTTAATTTGATTATCACAGAGTCCTGTCTTTTCTTCCCCCACAATTTCTCTTGGACGAGGTTGGATGAAATCCATTACTTGGAGTAATACTTTTAGTCCAAGTCTTCTTACCTCAAGCTGTCAGTGGTATAAGTGTCTAATCCATTTGTCTTGCCTACTCCAAACCCCTTTATATTGAATAATTTCCATCATGTCTTTTTATTACTTAAGCCAAAAAGGTTTCCCATTACCTATCACACATCAAGAAACTTGCTGGCTCAATAAATCTGTATGTTAAACACATTTCCTCTTTGCCTATTCAATCTGATTACTACCCAGAATAGTTCTTTTTTTCCATCCTGGCCAATTTGTTTGCCCCACCCCTTCAGGCACTGTTAGTAATTTTCAGATTACTTTAAGTAATGGCTTTACTTAAGCCATTTTCGTCACTTAGAACTCATTCCTTTTTATTCTACTAATCCATATCCATTATTTCCTATAATATGTAACTCCAAACCCATGTCTTGAGAAAGGCTAACCTAATCACTCTGCTGTATTTCATTTTCTTTAAACTCCCAGACATACATGTATGTCTCATAATATATGTTCTTGTGTGCACTTATATACTGTTTTGAAATTTTCCTCTTGTTTTAGCCAACTTATATCATAAATTCCTTAACATCAGTGATAGTGTTCTCTCCTTCCTTAGTTTCACCTAAAGTGCCTTTTGTATTTCCATGCATTCTGTAGACACTCAGTTTGTTTGTAGGGGGAAAAATAATTATTTATCTAATACCCAATTACTGTTGAAAATAAAAGGAGGTAAATTCATATTGTCATTTGGTGGAGTGGGGTGCAGTTGGGGTTAAGTGGCTTGCCCACGGTCACACAGCCAATATGTATCTGAGGTAGATTTGAACTCTGGTCCTTCTGACTCCAGGGCCAGTCCTCTATCCACTGCATCCCCTAGCTGATCCAAATTCATATTGTAGTTGCGGTAAATTGAGACTATATTGACACGTGCCATGCCATTGGATTGGATTATTAAGTATGTTTGAAATTAAACAGAGTGGCACGTAAATACTTAATTCAGTAACAAATGCCTTTAAAGTTTACAATCCTGTTATTGGTGAAATGCTCTTCTGATTTAATCACTTTTGAAAATGTTCTCTTTTCTAATAGAGCCTGTTACCCAGGGTGATGAGGAAAGTGAACAGCAAAGTACCCAGATCAGGCACCAAGACGTTATATCACTGAGTTATCAAGACTGGAAGGTAAAGTACACGTCTTCTGCTCCCCAAATCTTGACTGTCTTCATTGGTTTCAAGGTGAATGGCATTTTCTTCAATGTTCATTTTTCTACCAGGACATTGTGAGAACTTTTGAAATTTCGCAGCCTATGATCCCTCCTACGTGCTGTAGCGAGTAAAATCCAAGCTTTCAAAGGTATGGTTGCATGTTATTTGGCATCCAAAACTACTTTCCTGTATGACCTATACCACTGAGGTAATCGGCTCTGTCTTCTCTAGTTTTATGTTCCTGTAGTTGATGTGGGTCTCCTTCATCTTCTTTTGTCATAACATTGTCTTGTTGACTATAGGCCACTGGCAGGACAAACATTATCAGCTAGGTTTATGCTTTGGACAGAACTGTATGGTGATTCTGACAGAGAAAATTATATCCATGTTAAAAGAAGGTAAAGCAGAAATTTGTCGTCTTGAAGGAGTACCAAAACGTTTGATCTTCCCACAACTTGAATTGATTCCTTTTTCTACTCTTACAAAGAGAAAGCTTCAAATTAAAAGGTGAAGATTAGGGAAGAGAGACTTTGGTTATACTTCTAAATATTCCATTCTTCCCTTTTTTCTTCCCTAATATCACTCTTTATTACCTGGTAGTTACTATAAAACCTTTAAAATTAAGGGATATTTTGATGTCATATTTAGTTTTCATTGTTACATGACACAGTAACTTTGGAAATTGTTCATAGATAATTTATAAATATCTAGTTACAATGAATTGTATTTGCAAACGGAGCTATTTTTTAGTTTCTCATTATAAAATGTTTTTATGGATTAAAATTTTTCTGTAATGAAATCGGTCACCAAATGGTTTAAGAAAAGCTTTCCATTTGCTGATTATTGCACAATTTAGACCCTCAACTTTAGTAGCAATCTTTAGAAATGGGTTGAAATTACATTTTTGTTGTTTGAGGCACATTTTAATATTTTGCTATTAATTACTGACCATTATATTACTACTAAAATGTAATTTAGCTATTAACATTTTTGCTTTCCAATCTTATAAGAGTATCGTTTTTCATATCTACAACTTTTGACAGCCACGTAGATGAATGTTTTATTTTCAGTTACCCTGCTGCATGTCTGCCAACGAAAGTGGGAACAGCACCAGAAATTTGGAGTTGGGAAAAAGGAGGGCCCTGCAAGGACTCTGCCAGACCATAGCAATTTCACTCGAGTAAATGAATGCTAGGAACCCAGTAATAGTTGTCATCACCAGCCATCAATGCCTTTTTTATTTCTTTTTGGGTAAAGCTTACTGTTGTTTCAGTAAGCTGTTGAGGAAAGCTGTGTTTCCCTGGCTTCTTGGGAGGGACCCCTTCTAGACAGCAGCTAGGCAATGACTTGGAAAGCGCACAGAGCCAGTGAGAAGACAGCTTGTACTGAAAAAGAACAATGCTTAGTATATACTATCAGCTATGAACATTGCTACTATCAGTGAGGCAAATCAAATGGGATTACCCTTTTCATGACCCTTAAGTTTCTTTTGTGTAAACTCTTTTCCTGCCATAAGGCTATTACTGATTTTTGTTTTGGCCTGTATAAAAATCAGAGAGAATAGGATGCTTGGCATGTCATTTGCTTTGGCTTTTGTACCTCTGTAGGGCTTTCCTCATAATCCAGCAAACTAAGCTATATTAATTGGATTTCATTTGAATTTGTGTTTTGATTGATTATTCCTTATTTCTAGGTATCCCAAACGAAAATTGGCACCTCAGGTGGAAAGAAGCATATATCATTTATTGTATTATGAAACGTGTTTTTCAGAGAATCAGATGTTTAGTTTTTTTTGTTTATATGTATTTTATATTATTGTTTATGAAGCTGCCTTGCTTTCTTATGATTAAACAGATTCACTGCCGTATCTGTTACATAATTGTCTGTCGTTTTTATTGATTCTTCCAATATTATATTTTATGGTCCTTTAACTTCATTTAGGTCATTTACCCAGAGTCTTCACGGATCTTTGTGCAGATGACTCACATCTTTATATTCGGTTCCTCCCCCCGAACTTCAGTCCTCTGTCACTAATTAACCTATTGGATATTTCAAACTATCTCAAATTAGATGTTATGGAGATATCTCAACATGAAAACTGAACTCATTTTTTCCCTGAGACCCATCAGCTTTCCAAACTTTCCTAGTTCTTTTGGAGGCACCACCCAGTTTGTTAGTTTCCAAATCTTACTGCTTCTGTCTTCATAATATCTTTAGTATCTGGCTCCTTATAGCTTCTCCCAGTCTTAGTCCAGTCATTTATCACCTCTTACCTGGATTATTGCAATGATTGTCTATGGGTGGGAGGGCTGTGGCTGTACTACCAGTAGCCTGGGGGGTGAAGTGGGAAAGAGGATAGCTGTGGTCATGTAGAGGTACAAGGTTTTTGTAAGGATTTAGAACAAGGTGGGGAACCTGCGGCCTTGAGGCCACATGTGGCTTTCTAGGTCCTAGGGTGTGGCCTTTTGACTGAGTCCAAGTTTTATGAACAAATCTGTTTATTAAGGGGATTTGTTCTATGAAGTTTGGATTGGGTCAAAGGGCCACACTTGAGGACCTAGAAGGCCACATGTGGCTTCAGGGCTGCAGGTTCCCCACCCCTGGTTTAGAATAAAAACTGCTTTCCACAGTTGCTCTAAAGGGGAAGTTAGCAATTACTTTGGGCAGCTTAGCTCCCTCTTACCAAATGGCTTGGTACACAAAAAATATCAGATAATGAACAAACCCATTTATCCAAGCAAACAGTAAATAGGAATCAGTGAATTTATACAGATTAGAACAGACAAAACAATACTTAAAGAGTAAGTGAGCTTTTTGAGATCAAGAAAGGAAGATTTTATAAGGGAAATCTGTTCTTAGCAATCTTTGGGGTACAGGAACTGGGAATAAAGGAACATGTTGAAGAGGGCAAGCTCCTCCATGTATCTCAGGGCTCCTAGGTAATCTTCATCTTAACATTTAAAAATTAATACTTAGGCTGATACTATAAGCAAACTGGGAGAGCAAGGAACAGTTTACCTGTCAATATTTATGGAGAACAGAAGAATTTATGACCAAACAAGATAGAGAACATTTATGAAATACAAAATGGATAATTTTGATTACATTAAATTGAAAGTTTTTGCACAAAGTCAATGCAAACAAGGTTAGGACGGAAGCAGAAAACTGGGAAAGAATTTTTACAACCAGTATCTCTGATAAAGGCTTCATTTGTAAAATATATAGAGAAGTCAAATTTATAAGAATACAAGTCATTCCCCAACTGATAAATGGTCAAAGGATATGAACAGGCAATTTTCAGAGGAAGAAATTAAAGCTATCTGTAGTCATGTGAAAAAATGCTCTAAACCTATTGAATAGAGAAATGCAAATCAAAACAATTCTGGGGTACCACATTGAACCTATCAGATTGGCTAACATGACAAAACAGGAAAATAACAAATGTTGGAGAAGATGTGGAAAAATTGGAACACTAATGCATTGTTGAAGTTGTGGACTGATCCAACCATTTTAGAGATCAATTTTGAACTATGCACAAAGGGCTATAAAGATGTGCACACCCTTTGACCCAGCAATACCACTTCTAGGTCTGTATCCCAAAGACATCATAAAAATGGGAAAAGTACCCACATGTACAAACATTTTTACAGCAGCTCTTTTTGTGGTGGCAAAGAATTGGAAATGGAGGGGATGCCCATCAACCAGGGAATGGCTGAACAAGTTGTGGTGTATAAATGTAATGGAATACTATTGTGCTATAAGAAATGATGAGCAGGCAGACTTCAGAAAAATCTGGAAAGACTTATATGAACTGATGCTGAGTGAAATGAGCAGAACCAGGAGAACATTGTACACAGTAACAGCCACATTGTGTGATGACTGACTTTGATAGACTAGGCTTTTCTTAGCAATGCAAGGATCTAAGACAAGATGGAGAATGTTATCCACATCTAGAGAAAGAACTATAAAGTTTGAATGCAGATGGAAGCATACTATTTGCTTTTTTTTCTTGTGTTTTGTTTTGTTTCTTGTGGTTCCTCATTTTGGTTCTAATTCTTTACAACATGACTAATGTGAAAATATGTTTAATAGGAATGTATATGTAGAGCCTATATCAGATTGCATACCTTAGGGAGGGAAGGAAGGGGAGAAAATTTAAAACTCAAAAGCCTATGAAAGTGATTGTTGAAAGCTAAAAATAATTAATTTTAAAAATTAATACTTATTCCAAAGTCTGTCCAGTCAGGATCTTAAAGGTCTCAGCTAATCAGGAGTTTATGTCTCTGCAGGTATCAACTCACAGGACTATCCTTTAAGAAACAATAGGCTTGGGACAGTAGTGGAGTTAATTTATGACCCCTAAATGTCTGGGAGCCTCAATCAACACCATTTTCAAAAATGCTTAAATATTACAAGATCATTTAGCAGTTGGGATACTATGTTTTTACAGATTAATTTGGGCCCACTAAAAGTCTGCTGGTCTGTGGCCTGAAGAGCCTAGCACTCAATATCCAGAGAAAGCAGCCACGTGGTCCCAAGGCAATACAAATTATGACTAAACTAAGACATTCCCTGCAGGATGTCTTACAGAGCCCGGCCCTAACAAAGGCTCCATTCAAAAAGTAAGGCCAGAGGAAAGAGTAAACCCCCCCAAAAAAAAGGCTCCCATTATAAAGTGCTATTATGGTGACCAAGATCCCTAAGAACAAACCTTGAGGAAGAGAATGATTCCAAAAATATAAGCAAAGCCTACACAGGTTAAATATAAGTTCAGCTAGAATTCTTGGAGAACTAAAGCAAAAGTCAAGTAAAATTTTAAAAATTATAAATGAAATAACATTAGAAGAAAGAATTGGCAAAGAAAAAGTTTTAGAAGAAAGACTCTGAAGGAAAATTAATAGCTTAATACAAGAGGTACAAAACTTTTCCTAAGCAACAGATAACCTTGAAAAGTTGCGTGGATCAAACAACAGTTAGTGAGTCATGAGACAAGAAGAAATATTAAAACAAAGTCAAAATATTAAATAGAGCAAAATATAAGGTGTCTCATAAACAAAACAAAACAAATGACCTCAAAATTAGATCAACGAGAAGACTGAAGAATTATTGGACTACTTGGAATCCATGACCAAAAAAAAGGCTTGAATATTTCAAGAAATCATGAAAGAAAATGCCCATAGCTATTAGAACCAAATGGCAATGTGAAAATAGAAAGAATCCACCAGTCACCTCCTGAAAGAAATACCAAAATGAAAATTCCCAGAAATATTATAGCCAAAATCTAAAACTACCAGTCAAAAAGAAAATACTGCAAGCAGCTTCAAAGATTTTAAGTACCAAAGAGCCAAATTCAGGGTCACATAAGATTTTTTAAAGGAGCAGAATAAATGGAATATGGCTTTCCAAAAGGCAGAAAATATAGACTTATAACCCCAAGTAACCTATTGCCCCAAACTCAGTATAATCCTACAAAGGAGAAAATGTATCTTTAATAAAATAGAGGACTTTCAGTCATTCCTGATGAAAAGGCCAGAGCTGGGAAGAAACTTTGAAAAACAAACATGGAAGTCAGAGAAACATGCATTGGTAAGAAAGAGGGGGCTATCAAAAGGGACTAAATAAGAATGAAGTATTTACATTCTTCTAAGAGAATGTAAGAGAATAGAATGAAGAGTGATCATAACTGTTAATGTGGATGAGATTAACTCACTATAACAATGGAAAGTTGAAAGCAAAATGGATTAGGAAGCAGAATCTAACAATAAACATGGCATTTAGAAGAAATACTTTTGGAACATAAAAATCCCCAACAGAGTTCAAACAAGGGGCTAGAGCAATATCTATTGTACTTCATCTGAACTTAAAAAGATAGGGGTATCAATCATAATCTTAGATAAAGTAGCAGCAAAAACAGGCTCAATTAAAAGATAATAATTCATTGTGCTAAAAGAATACAAAATGAATTAATGTTAATATATATGTACCCAATGCCATAGCATTAAAAAAAAAAGTAAAGGAAAAGGTAAACAAGTTATAGGGAGAAATACAGTAAAACTATTATTAGAAGAGATTCTAATATACCCCTTAGACAAATCTAACAAACAAATAAACAAGAAAAAAGCTAAGCCTGAATAGATTTTTGGAAGTTAGATATGATAGAATCCCCGCAATTACTGAATGAAAATGGGAGCATACATATTTATCAACTGTGCATGAAGCCTTTAGAAACATTGACCATGTATTAGGGCATAAGAACCTCACAAATGCACAAAAGCAGAAATATTAAACATGATTTACTGACCACCATAGAATAAAGTTACATTTAATAAGGGCCACTGCAGGATTAAAATTAATTAAATACTAAATAACAGAATTGTATAGTACAGGTCAAAGAACAAAAAATAGAAACCACAGATAATTTCACTAAGGATCATAACAGCAGTGAGACAATATACTGACATTTTGGGAATACAGCCAAAATAGTACTTAAGGGAAAATTTATGTCTCTGAACATTTTTGTTAAACAAGAAAGAAGGAACAGATCAATGAAGTGATTATGTAACTATAAAAACAACCTAGAAAACAAAAAAAATTTAAAGCCTCAGTAAAACACCAGTATAAAAATTCTAAAAATCAAGTAAGCGATTAATAAAATTGAAAGAAAAAAACAAATGAAGAGCTATTTCT